TGTGTTTTTTCTCCAGTTTGTGAAATTGTCTTCTTTTTTTGAGACAGCTCTCTCTGTGTGTGTTGCCCAGGCTAGAGTGCAGTGGCATGATCATAGCTCATTGCAGGCTGGACCACCTGGGCTCAAGCAATCCTCTTGCCTCAAGTGATCCTCCTGCCGCAGTCTCCCAAATAGCTGGAACCACATGCACATATCACCATACCTAGCTAATTTTTGAGGGTTTTTTTTTTTTCTTCTTCACAGAGAGGATCTCAATATTGTTGCCCAGGCTGCTATCAAACTCCTGGGCTCAAGCAGTCCTCCTGCCTCAACCTTCCAAAGTGCTGGGATTACAGGCATGAGCCACTATACCCAGCTAACAGTACTGATTTGAACATCATGGTAGAAAAACATTTCCTTAATTTTGTATTACTAAAACATCTTTCAGTTTTTGATTTTTGCTGTGATGGACAATATCCAGTAATTGGCTTTACTATCCATTCCAAAATTACCTCATTTTCTAATAGATTATTCTCTTCCCAGTTTAAAGGTAATTTTTTTTCCTCTGAATCTACTTTGTCTAGCATTTAGTGAAATTTTTACAGATCTTTTGATATTTTTAGTAAAATCAGAAGAAATAGAAGTTTAGTTGCTATGTCAAAGCTATTGAGGGCTTGAGGTATATGTATATACGCCTTAGACCTAATGAAGAGTTAGCTATATCCCCTGGGAAAGAGTTGTTTAATTATCAGAACACATAGAAACTGTGTATTAGAGGTTAAAATTATGATAGTTAAGTCACTCAGTGTTTTAAAAAGTTGTCATTCCCTGTAGCAGGATTAATCATTTATAAAATGAAGTTCCTACCCGTTAATTGAATCATATAACTTTTTTATGTGAAATAGTGTTTTATTGAACTGAGTTCCATATCTAAGTTTGTTAGGTAACATTGATTTAAAAATCTGAGTGTTATAATTTTTCACACGAATAAAGTTTGCCTTGGAGACCTTCAAAATAGCTTTTCCTTTTTGCAATAGCTATGCATAGTTTCAAGTTGAGTCGAAACCATGTGGACTGGCACAGTGTGGATGAAGTATATCTTTATAGTGATGCAACAACATCTAAAATTGCAAGAACAGTTACCCAAAAACTGGGATTTTCTAAAGGTAATTGTTAAATATTACTGTAGCTTATCAACATTTTGGGAATCTGACTTTTTTTCTTATATTCAAAATAGACTATTCATATCCGTTTTTAGTTTATTTTAAATATATTAAATTTAGTGACAAGTTCCTTTGTAAATGAAACTTTTATTAAGTTGGTTGAGTTTACATGTATCCATTAAGTAATAATTACATACTTAGAGTGATTTGACAAGTTAATAAATGCCTTTTATACTTCTAAAAGCACAAAAGCTGCTAAACCTAAAACGTGGCAGTTGAAATATAGTGTCAAGGAAGATGAGGACTGAAAATTTTCCATCATATTTAGCGACATGCAGGTCATTGGTGACTTAGATGGATTGATGGGGCAGAAGCCAGATAGACAGGGGTTGAAGCTTAAGTGGAAGGTGAGGCAATGGAAGCAATGAGAATAGACAACTCTTTTTTTTTTCTTTTTTTAAGTTGGGGTCTCATTCTATCCCCCAGGCTGGAGTGCGGTGGTGTAATCATAGCATACCATAATCTGGAACTAATTCCTGGGCTCAAGCAATCCCCCCAGCTCAGCCTCCTCGGTAGCTAGGATTACAGGCATGCACCACTATGCCCTGCTAATTTTTTTTATTTTGTAGAAACAGAATCTCCTTATGTTGTCCAGGCTGGTCTCAAATTTTTGGGCTCAAGCCATCCTCTCACCTTGGCTTCCCAAAGCTTTGGGATTTACAGGCTTGAACTGTGGTACCTGGCCTGACAACTCTTTAGAAAAGTTTGACTAAATGAAAGAAAAGAGAGAATGAAACCTGGGGAAGATCTGAGAGCATTATCAAAAAATAAATTTAAAAAGAATTTTAAAGTTTGATAAGATTTTAATATCCTATTTTAAAATTTGAATTTCATGAATAGTAAATGTGCTTGAATAGCTTTACAGTTGTTAATTGTATTTATTTCCTGAATTACCTTGCATAACTTTAGCCTATTTTGCTATTTGAATGGTCGTCTTTACTTTTCCGTTAGTAAGCTCTCTTTGTATACTTGAGTAATTATGTGTTGTATTTTGTGTATTTTTTCCAGTTTGCCATTTCTTTGTTCCTAATATTTTCTTATTATAGAAGTTTTAAATTTTTATATATTCAGTATATTTCATTTATTTCTCTCTATGGTTTCTGGCTTTGGTGTTGTGTCCAGTTCACTTTATGTCAGAGCTGGTCAATATATACCATCTTACAGTTTTTATTTCCTCCCTCACAGCCAGTGAAATTTTTTTATAATATTCCTTTTTTTTTCCTTTCAACTTATTGTGGAAAATGCTATTTCTCAGATTAAATAGTAAACTTAGAATTTTAATTTCTTTTACAGCATCAAGTAGTGGGACCAGACTTCATAGAGGTTATGTAGAAGAAGCCACATTAGAAGACAAGCCGTCACAGACTACCCATATTGTATTTGTTGTGCATGGCATTGGGCAGAAAATGGACCAAGGAAGAATTATCAAAAACACAGCCATGTAAGTTCTTTGATGAATACAGTCTATATCTAGTCTAGAATCCACATTTTCATCCAGGGTATAAGAAATATTAACAGTATACTAATTCCAATGCATGTTCCTCCAGTGCCAGCTATTCTTACATTTCTTAAGTCATAGATAAAGTATCTGGACCAAATTTTGAAAGGGATTATATCAACAGGATGATGATGTTTGATTTTTCTCCCCAAAGTATGGAGAAGAAGGATTAAGGAAGGCTTTTTTGATCTAATATGTTAACTTTATAATCTAAAGTTGAAAGCAAGGAAAAGATCTAGTTATGTCTTACTCTTTGAACTTCAGAAACGAAGAATACTGCAAGTGCAACAACTCTAAAAAGGCTAAGAATTAGCCAGTTAGCAGCTTAACCTATTGCTATCAAAAGGAAACTGAATTTTCTGTGGAAAACAGTGGATTATTTACCTACACACCAGACAGGTTATTTACCTCATTAGTTTATTTATATTCGGATTTATCCTAAAACTTTCTAAAATTTTTTTTAGGGGTACATGTGATATTTGCATGTTTGAAAAACATTAAGGACTTTGTTAAAAGGGCATGTGAGGGTTAAGGGTTCCACCACAGATTTGGCTCTGAGCTAGCAACCAGTGTAGAGAAAAATATGGTTAGTTATAGATCATGTCATGAAAACAAGTGTGTTGTGACAAGCCCAGTTTATTTGATTCTGAGACTGATAAAGACTTATTTGAGTCCTTATAAAGCAAACAGTGTATGATACTGGGAAGTATGTCCTCAGCAACACCTCTGTAATAATGATGCAATGCTGAGTTTTATTTTACTTTTTATTGTAACATCTCTTAATGCCAGCTAATGGATTAAAGTAAAAATACAATTCAACTTTTTAAAGAAAAAACTTTGTCTGATAGTGCTAGACCACCCTGATTCTTTCAATCTCCGTGGCTTATATTACAGGAATCTCTTTCCTCTGATACTGATTTTACTTTCTGATGAGTTATATATTACTTCCCATCATGTTTATATATATATATATATATATATATATATATATAT